CGTAAAAGATGGTGTTTCATACACCATAGTTACACCTCTGGTGCTTTCTCAGCCAGACTCACTCCTGTAAAAATATTAACCACGGGAAATGAGACTTAAAAGTCCCAGTAATCAAAAATTAATATGTAATGATGCATGCGGTTGTAACTAATCATGCGATTGCTAAGTGGGTACACAAAATATTTAATAAAACCATATTTTCAAACAAACTGAATAAGTATTTAATTTGCATGACTGCACCTTATATCCTCCTTTCGCCATGCTCAGATGCCAAATCACCCGGCCAAAGGTGAGTTGGACCAAGCGACACGCCACTCATTTGGTCCAATGAGGGCTTACCACGTGGTAATAATTAACTGATTAAAAATTCTATTAACATCATATATTAAAATACCCTGACAAGTCATGCATCATTCAAATATCCAAACAGGAATATATCCGAACAATAATATCTCATCATGATAAACAAAAATAAATTTTTGACCCACTTGGCAATAATTTCAAACAAGTATTTATACAGTATTTATTTTCATTAATTCATAATTTTTCTAAACAATAAAACAACACATAACCATTCACAAACACACCCATCACAACACATTAATAATGGTTACCTTGTGTCTTGAATAACAAGTTCCCCTTCACAACTCCTTTTTCACCACCATCTTTATTAATATAATCTACATAATTATTTCACAATACTATATATTAATTTTACATTAAAATAAATAACTCTAATTTAAAGAGTTAGAAAGTCTTAGATCTATAATCCATATTAACACTAATTTAAGATTTATGCCTCATTTAACTTCTCAAATTCTTTTTCTAAAATTCTCGTACTCTAATAAACTATTTTTTTATCCTCAAATCACTTCTCGTATCACAATTTCATCCTTCTATATTCTAAAAATTCGTCCAAAAATAAATTAAAAATTTTAGAATTATCTTGAAGCCTCAAATCACCTTTCTATAACCTCAAAAATACCTATTCATACTTAAATAAATATTTAATAATCATAAGTTTATCCCTACATCTCAGATTCCACATAAATTCAACCATATAGATCTAGATTTTAACTTAAAAATTCTTAAACATGAGTTTCAACCTCAAAAAAATATTCTATAATATTTATTATATCCCTAAGAGTTTTAACCTATATTTTTAAGCCATCATATCATCAGATTAACTATCATATAGAAAAATCTTAATCAGAATATTTACTCTATCCTACAAAATAATCACATCACTAGAAAGCTAATATTATTTAGAAAATAACTATAAAATTAATTTTGTAATTAAATAAATTTTTAAATGCTAATCTAAACAGGAAAGTTAAAACATACCTGAAGAAAAAGAAAATAACCCCCTTGCGAGAGAACGCCGAGCAACGTGAGAGGAAGAGAGAAAAATAATATAAAAATGGGATTGTGGTCCCAAAATTTATATTAAAAAAATTATAGATTTGAATTTAATTATTCAAACCTTTGGGCCATTACTTGCAATTTTTACAAATTGCATCTTGGGCCCTTAGTTGCAATTTTCACAAATTATAATAAAAAATTTCTCATGCTTTCCTCCACAATGCACCTCCTCTTTTTATACATGAGGAGGTGCCTTTCATTCCCACAGCTAACCGATGTGGGACTAAACCCCCGCCCTTTTTTTTTCTTTTCTTTTCTTTTTTTTAACTCACACACACACATTAATAATAATTTTTTTTAAATCTTAAAATTATATCTTAATAAAATATTTCTTATATAATTTTAAACTTAAGTTTTTAATTCATAATTAAATTCCTAACCATATTATTATTTTTAAATAACCTCAAATAATATAAATTCCTATTATTATCATCATTTTTAAAAAAAACTTAAATTTCATAAATTTTTTTATCTAAAAATTAGGATGTTACATATGGCACAAAGAGCTTTTTCCAAGCGTGTTGTCATACATGCGCCATGGCAGACCAATTCTATACCACGGCGCGTGGCACAGAATTACTCCCTTCAGAAATTCTTCCTCTTCTATTCCCGAGTGACCCGATTCTCCTTCGAACCCGCGTTTAGTATTGAAATCGAGATCAAACACGCTCGTTAGGCCTTTCTGACCACACACCTCAAAGATACATTTTACTAATCTATTTAAGCTTAATTAATTTGGATTTAAAATTGAGGATGATATAAAAAATAGGAAAAAGGTATGAGCAAAAGCAACTGAAAAATAAACTAGACAACATAAAGAAAGAATAGAAAATATGGTACAAATTATTTGCTAGTGAAATCGGCTTAGGATGAGAAAGTGTCAAGAATACTATCGATGCTCTGAATGAGTGGTGGGAGCAAAAAATCTTGGTATGGATTAGTTAAGTGTTTTTTAGATTATAATTTAATTTGAGAATCTTAATTGTTGATTACTTGAATACTTGCAGGAGAATCCCCTTTATGAAAAATTTAGACATAAAGGGTTGAGGTTTGCAAGGGAATTAATCTTGATATTCAGGGATGTCCTGGCAACTGGGGAGACACTGTTGGTGCCATCTGCTACCCAAATCCAAATAGAGGATGATGATGATGAAGATGTGTACTGCCCCACCGTTGAACTTCAAGAAGGATCCGATGATAGTGAAGAGGAGTTAAATTTATCTGACACTACAACATGTACGGGGATCACTAATGAGTTGTTAGGCTTGAATGTCACCACAAATACTGATGGAACCAGTGGTTATGGAAGTTAAGGCAAGAGAAAGAGGGTTGTAGGAGGTGGTGGAAGGAAAAAGCAAAAAGTTTCGGCCTTAATGAAAATAATAGATGTGATAAGTGAAATAGCTAAGGATAATAAAGCTAGAACAGAGACTGTGAACAAGATTTTGGTAAATAACATAGGAGTTTTTGAGGTTGTAGCTCACCTAAATGGACTTCCAGAAGTTTTTGGTGATAAAGATTTGCATAGGAGATGTGTCAATCTTGTTTTGTACAAGCCTATGCGAGATGCTTACTGGCAACATAAAGATCATCTTGATCACTTAGTCAATTGGTTGAAGCACTAAGTCTACCATCTACCAGATTTTATTTCAAAGAATACATCAGGATGAATTTTTATCTAAGCCTATGATGACTTGTGTTTATTTTGACTTAAAGAATACTTGTAGTTGCTTTAAACTGACTTGTACTTTGCTATGATTATGATGACTTGGTTTGTAGTGAATATTTAACTCTTATCTAATGCTTTATTTTTTATGATATTGAATGATATTTATATACTATGTATTTTATATTATATATAAATGATATTTATATACTATTTTACCTCAAGTTGAAAATCATGGAAGATTCGAATGAATAAATGTTAGGTTAGAATGAAGGTTAGGATGTAGATGTGGCTCATCAACTACTTCCCTTATTACAACAAGATATAACTATGCAAGAAGAAATATGTCAATTAGTTAGTGACTATGTGATGCCATGTGTGTGTAAAGAGCCACGAAGAACTAGCAAGCAAACAGGGCAAATGCGGGTTAATGAGATTTTGCAAGGTCATCTTCATCATTGTTATGAAATGTTTTGAATGGAAAAATATTTGTTTAGGCAACTGTGTGCAACACTAATTAATCTTGATCTAAACAAGTCTAAAAAAATAGGAGTTAAAGAAATGGTTGGAATGTTTTTAAATACAATTGGACGTGGAGTTGGTAATAGAATGATACAGGAACAATTTCAGCATTTAGGGGAAACCGTCCATGGAAATTTTCATAAAGTATTAGCTGCCTGCCTTAACCTTTCCAAGGCAAACATAAAGCCACTTGATCTTCAACGATGTCATTCAAAAATTCAAAATGATCCACGGTATTGGCCATTCTTTAATGATGCTATAGGAGCAATTGATGGCACTCATGTGCCATGCGTGGTTAGCATTGCTGATCAAGTCAAATTTATTGGAAGAAAGAGATATGCAACCTAGAATGTTATGGCTGTATGTGATTGGGACATGTGTTTTTACTTTTGTCACTGCGGGATGGAAAGGTATGGCTCATGATGCTCGAGTATTTGATAATGTCATATCAACTCCTTCAATGCCTTTTCCGCATCCACCTCCAGATATATTTTATTTTATTAAAGTCACTATAATTATTATTGCATTGATTTAATGTTGGTCAAATTTATATCACTTCCTTTCATTTAATAGATAAATATTATTTGGTTAATTTTGGTTATCCAACACTAAATGGGTATCTTGGTCCATATCGTTATGAACGTTATCACCTTTCAAACTTTAGGCGAGTTGCAGGATTTGCAAATAATAATGAGGTTTTCAATTATTATCATTCAACTCTGAGATGCACTATGGAAAAAACTTTTGGAGTGTGGAAGAATAGGTTTGCAATTATACAAAAAATGCCTAAATTTAAATATAAAACACAAGTTTAAATTGTTTGTGCAACAATGACAATACATAATTTTATTAGGAGAAATTCAACTACTGACGAGCAGTTCATACAAGCTGAAGATGAAAGTGTAGAAGTATAGGAGGAAGATATCGATATTAGTGAAGCATCCTCGTCAAATTTATTCAGATTATCAAGACAGATGTAACATGTTCGTGATACAATTAGAAATCAATTTGTAAATCATATCAATTAAATATTAATTTATTTTAGGTTTTTATAGTAGAATATTTAAGATATTTTATTTATTAGTTGTGATTTTAAGTTTAATATTTTTTTTACTTATTAGTTAGTCAAAAAAATATAAACATACTTATTTAAAATTTAATATTTAAGATAAAAAATTTATGCTTATTTTTATCATTAAACATGTCAACTAATTTTTGAATTAAACCATCCAAATAAATTTTAATTTATTTGACTGACTTTTAAAAAAAATGATATCTAAATATAAATCACATTACATCAACTGACTTTTTTTATAATCTCAATTTACTAACCTCAAGTTAAATCTTAACTTTAATTATAAATTTTTTAATCCAAACACGCCTTTAAGCCCTCAAGTCATTTCTCTCGACGTCGACGCTCCCGCTCTCCACTCGGCGGCACTCCCAGACTAAATCCACCACGCATCGACGACGACCAGCGTCTTGTCTCTCCCAGCAATCGTCCAGCTCTCTGCCTCTTCCACTCTCGTTTGTCGCTCTGTGTCCCTCATTCCCTTCTCTGTCGCTGACTCGCTTTGTGAGTGTGTCTCTCATTCCCTCGTCGAACCAGCAGGCAGAAGCTGACCGCCGAACCAGTCTATTTGTGTTCGCTTTCTAGGCAGGTTTCTTTTCTTCTTTCTCTCTGTTTTTTCCGGGATTTAGCTTCTTGATTCATCATTTTGGTTAGATATTCGAGTGGATTCTGCTTTTGAATTGAAGTTCTGGGTTTTCAATCTAGCTTCAAGACATTGTTTTTCAGGGTTGATGTTTGAAATTTGATATATGGTCCGAAAGGTTGTTAGAGAAATAGCTTCCCTTTCACTGCGAAAACAGTTATCAGTAGTTTTGCGTTGAATCCTTGGGAAATATTCGAACTCTCGAACTCATTTTAGTTAAAGTAGCGAAGAAGTATAGTTAAATTATTACAGATTGAAGAGAGATTGATTTGTGATGTATGTATGTTTCCTATTTATGATCAACTAGAAGTCCAACGACACAACAGAAACGAGAACACAATTAAACATAAACAGGAATCCTAAGACTAGCTCGATCAGATCCGAGAGAAATCTTTGTGGAGTGTTTCCTCCATTGGTTCCCTTGGCAAGGAAGTTCTTCAATCCACTTGAACCTAAAAAGCTGTGAAAGCTTCTCAATGTCCTGCCAGACAATCTTAAAAGGTTGAAAGATTGTTAGCTCTTTCTAATAGAAACTTAGCTTGCTTAGGATGGGTTAGAACAATGGATGTGTCTGCAAACCAGGTGAACCAAATTCTTCGAAGTTCATAATCCATTTGATTGCCAATCGAAACTCTCAATTAGAAAAGAGTGGACATTTGTCTCATTGTCCTTCGGAATTGTTTTCTTGATGAAGAAATTGATTTGTATGATATGAATGAGAACGTAATGTATTTTTTTTTTTATCCTTGTGCGTTTTATTTTCATCAAGAGGGTCTATACATCTACAGACTCGTGTCTTTATTAGTTTTATTATAATTGTGCTATGGGTTTGGAATTATATGAAAACTTGCTCACAAACAAAAAAATCACTTTTGACGTAATAACATCTAATATTTATTTAAGATTGAAGAACAAAAGGCAAATCGCCCTGAAAACCCTGCCAGATAATTAAATGCACTTGCAAGTTCCTTTGTTCCAAGCCCTAACAAAACCATTAAAGCCCAAGATGCACGCCAGGGTGGGGGGATTTCTTTTCATTCTCTGAATCATCATTCAGTGGTCAGCTTGCTTCTTTTCTACAACAAAAACTCATAGTTGCATCTTTGTCTCAAAAAGCATATTTTACTTTAAGTTTCTCATCATTTGAATACTACATCTCCAGCATGAATTGTGGTCACATTACTCAGAGGTGCTGGCATATCACATTTATGGAACAGTTCCATGCAGTTTCAGTACATGGGTATTTATTTCAAGTTCAAACTGCAGTATCTGTCTTTATTGTCATGCTTGGCTTCTGAGAAAATTCCCTTGTCTTTCATTTTACTATCTGGATTAAGGTTGATTTAATCAATTTGTGGTGTAGTTTTTACTGCGGTCAAGATTTTATTTGCAGCATTTTTTAATTTTCTGCAATCTGAATATGTTTCTATTGGACTTTACCCATATTTTATACCTTTTTCCTAGTTTTTTGGGTCCCTGTGGATTCCACAAGGAATGCACCTTACTCCTGTTCTGCAGGGTGGTCATCTCTAAGCTTGTTCCTCTGCAAAACTCTAGTTCATGAAATTAATAAGTTTGTTCCCTCGTGCTAAAATTGCTAATGATCATGATTTTACCAGTAAAAGAAATATGCTGAGGAGGAGATTTTGTATTCTCTCAACAATGATTGGAAGTTCAGTTGGTGGCAAATCCGTTTGCAGTCTTACACGCCCATCTGTACAATTTCATCTGCTGAGGCATCCTCAATCTCTTGACTCTCGTGCAACCTTTGATCATAATAGGCTCATGGATTCTCATGGTCTTAGAGCTTACAGTCTTCTGAGCTTGAATGATCTGAGAGATAAGGTGCCGAGAAAACAGAAAACCAGGAAGGGTCGTGGGATTGGATCGGAAAGGGTAAGACTGCTGGGAGGGGTCACAAAGGTCAGAAGGCTAGAGGGCATGGGAAATTGGGTTTTGAAGGAGGTCAAACACCACTTCGACGAAGGTTGCCAAAACGTGGATTTAAGAATCCATTTAGCCTCACTTTTCAGGTGCTCATTTTAGTATTTATTTTATTCATATTTGTTGCCTTTCTTCTGTTTGATGTAGTGGGACGTAGATGATTCAGAATGCGCAGCATTTTTGTGCACCTTGTAGAGAAAATGCACCATTTCGAACATATAAATTTAATTTTCATGGTGGCTGGTTGAATTTTCTCACCATCCAAGAAAAATTCTTAGGTAGATCAGTTACGTCATGTCATTTGTAGTCTGTCCAATAAAATTATGACATTCAAATGATATTAAATATAAATTGATTTTGATATTAATAATAGTAGAGTGAGAGAAGGCAAGAAATTAAATATGTATTTTGTTATAAGAGTATAATCAATAAAAATAATGTCATATAAGATTTTATTGAGATGACTTGGGGCATTCTAATTGGATAGATCACAAATGATATGGCGTACCCAATTTACCTAAGAATTTCTCCACCATCCAAACAGAGTATTAAACAAAATGGTTCATTTTCAGTTTAATCAGGTTTGATTAACACCAGAAGCCTTATGTGTGCTGATAGCTTTAAACGCATCTAAACATTCTGCCATGTTTGTTGAACTCTAGGATTTCTTTATTGTAGTGATCGTTTTGAGGTGTAGAATGTAGATATAGGAAGGCTTCTGGACTACGTTTGTGCGTATTTAAATTTTTATAAAACTTGTGACTATAATTTATCTTTTGATGCTTTCTCTTTCCTGGGAAAAGCCAACTATGGCTGGAGCTGTTAATATTCAAATGATAGGATTTTCTATATATGTTTCCTTTCCAATTTTCTTCTGACATTTTTTTTCTCTCTGTATGGGTTTTAATTTCTTCATATATCTTTTCTTGCAGCCTGTGGGTTTGGGAAAAATTGCAAAGCTTATAAATGCAGGGAAGATAGATTCGTCTGAACTGATTACAATGAAAACACTCAAGGTCTATTCACTGTTACTTTGTTTTGAATGGAACTGTTCACTTCACATGTTCACACGATTGCTCTTATTCTGGTGACAATTATTACCATAGGATACAGGGGCGATTGGAAAGCAGATAAAAGATGGAGTAAGATTGATGGGACGTGGTGCTGAGCAGATCAAGTGGCCAATTCATCTGGAGGTAGACTTGATTAAGACTGTTAGTGCTTTAGAATCATGATCATGCTTTTTTGCTTCCTAACTAACGAAATGATTTTACAATTTTTGGAATTATCACTGTCACTGATCGCTCATCACCATTATTGCTTGTGCTGAGTAGATTATGATTACTAGGTCTTTGTCCTTGGACCTTGGACAGCCCTTGCACCATCTGGAACCAAAACCATCTGTTTGTAGGAGCAGCCAGCTTCCAACCTTCGTAACTGGGGTGGTATAGGAAGGCTATATGTGTATGGTTTCTTAGAAATTGGAAGAAAAGAAGACTTGAGACTGCATAGACTCTGCTATTTTTTTTTCAAAGTTGACATTGATAATGCAGTATATCTACAAAACTTGTAACAAGCCATACAGTTCACAAGCCGTGAATAGTGGAGTCTATCTCAAATTTTGTGCAAGTTCATAGGCCTATTCTAGTTGTCCAATTTTTAAGAAATCAGATTGAAGGATTTTACATTAACTTCTGTTGGTCATCGTGGTGTTCTTTCTCTCTGAATCTCTCTTTCCTATTTCTTGTTCTTTGAACTTTGAAGGAATTTTGAAAACATTGAAGACTGTTTTGGCTGATAATCAGTTTATCCTTTTATTTTGCTTGAAGGAATCTAAGATGCGTTCCTTGCTCAGATACACTCTCAAAAATACATGAAGGTCATAGCTGTGCATTGTGCTTTTTTTTTTTTTTAATGTATAACAAAAAGTCATGCAAAATGTATCTTGCTTCCTCCGGTCCAAAATATAAGTTGATTTTTGCCTTCTAATCTTGGTCCAGAATATAAATAACTTAATATTTATGAAAATTATTCTCTCATTTTGCCCATTGTATTTATTAACTTAGATTATTTTGTTATACTATCAATTTATGATCTTTTCACTCATCATAAATTGAGATTAAAGGTAAAAAAGCAAAACAATATATATTTTCATAAGAATAAGAATTTTATTGATATATAAATTATTGTTGAAAGTTGCTTATATTTTGGACTGGTAGGAGTATAATCTTTTGAATTTACAGGTATCAAGGGTCACTGTAAGGGCCAGGGAAGCAGTGGAAGCAGCTGGTGGGTCTGTGAGAAGAGTGTATTACAACAAGCTCGGCTTCAGGGCACTTCTGCAGCCAGAGTGGTTTGAGAAGAAGGGAAGATTGTTGCCAAAAGCAGCTAGGCCTCCTCCCAAACAGAGAGATAAAGCTGACAGCATCGGTCGGCTTCCTGCTCCAACAAAGCCAATTCCATTTTCGGTTGAAGAAAAGGAAGCACCTTTGAATTCATAATTTATATTCATAATATTAGTGATAAATCCCTTGAACCATATCTAGTGAATTCAAGTTGAGACAATAGCATATCCATTCAATCATCCCATGAAATGAGAATATCTTTTTTGGTATGGTGATTTTAAGGCACAGTTGTTCACTCAGATAAGCAGAGCTTAGTTCTTGTCTGTATTTGGGCTGTGATTGGAACTTAGTCTGTGAGATATCTAGGGAGGAGAACTATGCACAGTTTTCATTTCTACTTGGGTCCTTTTCTCTTCGAATTGAGATTAAATTTCTGTCTTCACTCTTTTTGTTTTCCTTGGCTGACTTTGGTATTGCAAATGTTTGTTTTCAAAATGAACTGAGAAAATCAGAAATCATCAGGTAAGGCACTCGGATGGATCAAAGGAGAAAAACAGGATTTTGATTTTGAAATACTGTACTCCCCAGTCTTAAAATATAAGAGCTAGACGATTAATTCACACAAATTAAGAAAATTAGTTAATTACAAAAAGTGTGTTGGTTATTTTAAAATCTCTCTTTTTAATCATTTATATTGAAAATTGACTCGATTGATTTTGCATATTTATTGATTATACATCTTACAGTGTGTGTACATGATAAATATGGGAGACAATAAATTGAGATTTTATATCAAGAATATGAAGTAACCGATATTAATTTTAGGGATAATCTCGATTTTCTTCTCTCATTTTTGCGCTTATCTGATTATAAGACATCGACATTTGTCAATTAATATATTCCTCAGAGTAAAGCATTAAAAGGGATTTGGAGAGCCTTTGTTATGGACATTTTTGTCTCTGCGGATGAAATGTACGTTTTGGTTGTTGTTTATTTTTTTAATTAATACAAAGGCCACACTAACATCATAAAAAAATAAAGCTAAAATCCAAGTTTGGTCATAGTGATCGACTGTGATAGTTCAATTGCACTTGATGAGCTTTCTAATGGTCCTAATATATCTAATTAGGAGATGATTATCAGAGTGTCCATTTTGAATGTCTGATTCAGTTGTTTTAAGTTATTTATCCCTATAAAAGTTAGTTTTTATTGATTAGGCTAAAGTGCATCTTTGATGAATCTTCAGTCTTGAGGCAAATTGATATTTCTATATGTGCCAAGAGAGCATAACTTGGTGGCTGATTCGTTTTGTTTTTGTTTTTGGGGAAAAAAGGCTCACAATGTCTCAATGTCTAAATGAGTGTATGGGATTGCTGTCCTGGCCTAATCTATTTCCCATTTTTTTGGGTTAGCCCCTTTATTGTATTAAAAAAAAGTGCATCTTTGATCCTTAAATTTTATACAAATTTTGTCTTATTTTCTCAATTTTATAAAATATTATTTGAGGTTGGGCCTGGTGAAAAAAGGTTATTGAGAAATACTTAAATAAATTGGGTTCATCATGTCATTTGTAGTTTGTCTAATTAAAATATTTCAAGTATTTTAAATAAAATCTTATATGATATTTTCTTAATTGATTTTATTTTTATAACAGAATGTACATTTGATTTCTTGCCTTTTCTCTCTTTATTATCATTAATATTAAAATTAATTTATATTTAATTTAATCTAAATGTCATGTTTTTATTGGACATATCACAAATGACATGGTGCACTCAATCTATCTAAATATTTTTCAAAATTATTTTCTTATAACATGGCAAACTAAAGTTAATTTGAGAGAAGTGCTCACATTTAATACTCAACATAATCTTAAATAGAATTACATGAGGAAAAAAAATTATAAAGTATCTTTTAAGTTTTCTGGCCATAACACTGTTAATTTTATTAGCAAAAAATGCTGATATTGAATTTTTAAATGTTGACAAAATATTTTTAAATATTGATATATTAACTTTAATTTTTAAAAATCACAATGATGGACAAAACATTTCATGCAAGATATTGATTTTGTAGATATATAAAGGTAGTTTTATAGATATAAAGATAAGCTGCTTTTTAATAAATTTGTTCTGTTTTATGAAGCAACTTTATGTATTTAGGTGGCGGTGGTGGGGCTATGAGGGCACCACTAGTGTCCAAGGGAGAGAGAACAATTGGAGAGGGACCAGCAAACACTGGAAAAGATTGTGGGGAAAAAATCCATATTATCTCGTATATATTTTTAATATTTGTCTCTCTATTTCATTAATTTTCAAGCAAACACATAAAGAAAATATGAAGTAACATTTGATTCTTTTCCTGAGGCAAAGGACCAAGAAAAGAAAGGTACATTTTGAGAGCTTGCTTTTGCTTTTTATATTCTTTTCAAATTCTGATAAAATGGATAAGCACATTTCAAGTTGGAATGGGAACGCACTGTGTACGGCTACTAGGCAAACGCTGAGTTTTCATGCAAGAGAGAGCACACTTCATGCTTTGCAGGGTTGTTCGAGCTAGGGGATTGTGATAACACTGGTGTTTGAAAACTAGGTCAGCCGATTCAATTGGTTGAACTTAAAATCAGTTCTTAATTTAATTTGGTTGACCTTTCAAAACTAATCATAAAAAAACCAATCAATGATCAGAAAAACAGGTCAAAAATAAAAAAAAAATCAGTTGAAAACATGTCTGAATTAATTAAAAAAATTTAAAAAATTAATTAAAACAAAGAACAGTCAAGAATAATTAATATTAATCATGTATTCGTCAACAATATGTTATTTTACCAAACATTTATTAATATTTTTTAAAAAATATAAATATTTGCATATATTTTTTATTTAATTATGATACATAAATTATAAATATATTAATTTAATATCAATCAATACAACCATGATTTAATTACGGTTGAACCAATGAACCATGAACTAGTGGCTACTTCAGTTCAATGACCGGTCCGATGTTTAAAACTTTAGATAAAACATTTATATTCATGTCGCTCATAGATACAATTGAAAATTTATACAACTCTTTTTAAGAAGATTAAAGTTTTAATTAAATTTTTTAGAATCATAAAATAGTTATCAATATTAGTATTTTGTAATGTCACAAGAACCACGTTATGTCAAATGATCAAATCAAGTGGACCTGTTGATTGAAATCATTAACAACTTGATTTGAACCAAAATACTGTTTTCATAGTTTAGTTCAATTGGATTAAGTTAGAGTTAAGAATTAAGATCATCTTTGAAAAGCTAGAGTTTAAATAAGCTCATGCTATTAAATCTAATTACCTTATAACTCTATTTTACAAAATTTACACTAGCCCTTGAGTCAAAGGGCGTTGACCCTAACATTTTTTTAATTTAAAAAATTTAAAAATATATTTATAATCTCAAAAAAGTTAGTATTATGTAAGATTAAATTTAAGAAAATAAATTTAAGTAAATCCATTCCACAACAAATATATAAAACTTAAACATTCATACCTAATGTCAAATAATAACATCAAAATCAATATCAATAAAACTTACACTTTGGTAACATCACTAGCAACATCATAATGATTATCATTATCATCATTATCAATATTAATATAATTTAATCATTCTGTGAAGCCTTTTTAATGACAGAGATATTAAGATCCCATTTAGTTATTAAAAAGGAATGAAGTAGATTTAAAAAATAACAAAAAATGAATTAAACCACCTTTCCCTCTATGGTAAGTATAAAAAAAATTTATTAATATATGTTACAAATGTAAGAATCATCATACTTTCTAAAAATTTTATAAATCATGATTTTCAATTCTATAAATTAAATTATCTATCTTTTTTATAAATGTATTTATCTATCTATTTTTATCATCTTATTTTTATTATTTTTTTAATCATTCTTTTCTAATATCCAAGCGGACTTAAGTTCTTTATATCTTCCTTCTTCCTTCTCATTATCTGATTCCGTTCGTGATCAAGCACAGTGCAAGTCAATGAGCATATGCGGTCTATCGAGGATAGTGCAAGTCAATTACCTTTTTCGTTTCATGTGTGAAGTGGGTAGGGGTAACACAGTAAGTGACGCAGGAGCTGTGGCTGTCGATGGATGAGAATGACAAATGAGCCTGTTAGCCTTTTATTTTTTTTAAACTGAAATTAAAAAAATGACAGGACTTAAAAGTGTTAGCCCCTTTACTCTAATTCTCAGCTCTAATCAAAATTGAGTCATTATTAAATTGAAAACTGAAATGATTTTTCAAAAGCCAAACAAGTTTATGCACAACATAAAAAAGGCCAAAAAAACTAAAAATAAAAAAATTAAAAATTAAACCTTACTAAAAGTCAAGTAAACCCTTCACATTTATATAATATGATTTTGGACTATTTTTTTAAAACATATTGACAACTATATGTGTAAATATAGATGTTTTTAAGCCAACTTATGTCTGATTTAATAAGATCTACCTATATATTTGATTAGTTATAAAATTTTATAGTTATGTTATGTTATTTTATTAAGAATTAGACATAATATAAGTATAAATTAATTTCTTATATGTATTCTTATATATACATTTAATATATTTTGTTTAGTTGTCACTTAATTATTACATTAACGGTTTGGAGTGTTAATCTAACGTATTAATTCATAAAAACCGAGATCTATAGTTTCACAGGTCATCCAGGGTTTTAAAATATGGGTATTTTGATTGTAATGAGTACCTGATTTGATTATTTAGGTTCGATTAAATAGAAAAAGGTGGAAAATAATTTTTGGAAAAGGAGAAGGCAAAAGGGTGCGTGCATGAAAGCCAAAATACAGTGAAAAATATTTCCCTCTCACTCGCCACTCGCCACTACCATGCGGTGGACACCACGCTTTTTTCATTCTTTCATTCTCATCCTCGGCCTCCTACGGACGCGCCCAAAGCAATCTCTTCTCATTCTCTTATTCGCCTTGCCGCCGCACGCTGCTTCTTCCTCCTCCGCGTCATCGTCGCCTCCCACCCTCCCTCCTCCTCCATCGCTAGGTCGTTTTTTTCAGGAGATCTGCTGCTTTGTGTCCTTCCCTATAGCAATCAGTAACGCCCCAACGCTCCTGCCCAAGTTCCTCTTCCAGCCGTCGACAAGAGAGAAGAGGTTGATTGGGCCAGCGAGGCAATGGCGACGAAGGCTTTGAGCTTTGTTGTTTGTGACTTCACAGGCCGCTTTGATGCAAAGTTCTCACCCTTTCGACCAAAACTTATAGCTCCCACGCTCAGATGCTCTGTCCATTTCTCCTCTGATGCTGCTGCCACTAGTAAACCCACCTTCTACCATACCTTGTTTCTTATGCATGTTTTGTGTCTAGGTTCTGTTTCTTGTTTATTTTTTTTTTCTACCTCTTAATCAAAAATAAAGGGGGTGGGTAGATCATTGGTTGTTTTACCAAGTGTTTTTTATTGCTTGAGTTTGGTTTGTTATAGTAAATTTTTCGTTTGAAGTTGAGCTTATGTAATTAAGTATCAGTGGACGAAAGAATATTAATAAAAAAGGCTACCAATGCTTTATAACTCATATTCATTGCTCTTGTCCTGATGAAAAATTTGTACCTCGGGAGTTGAATCCTGTCATTGATGAATTTCTGGATTTTAAAGAATTGGGTAGTTATTTTACGTTCTTCAAACATAGTTGCAGAGCCTTCAAAGTTCAGACTTCAATTTCCTCGACTTCTGTAAATCCTTCTTCTTTACTTTCTCGTGATTTTATATCTGAAAGTGAACTGTGCACCACAGTTCCAATTTATTTTTTAAAATCAACCTTACAATTCCTTTCATTCTAGTAATAGTCTGTTTCAGTTAAATATCCTCTTTCTTCCTCCAATATATATACTTTAAATGAAAGGAAATCCTTATATTGTTACAAAGAGACTAAAGAAATTGATTGATTTGTATCGCCTGAAACATAGGTAAGGGACAGAGGTCTCGGAGGAATTTAGATGCTACACTTATGTTGGTGGATGATAGACTATTAATAACCATTTTACGAAAATATGTGTGTTGAAGCCGGTGATGCTTTCAAGATCAGATTCATTCTTTTGGTCCTGATGAAAATAATTGAGCATCAGCAATTGAATTCGGCCACTGATAAATTTTCTGGTTTTTAATGGATTTTGTCATCAATTTTTCTTTTTTTGGTGTGATCTCTGAACACGTTTTTTATTGCCCTGAGTTCAAAGCTCAGTTTCTTGAAAATATGCGGACCCAAATTACTTTCTTGTGTTACTTCTCTGAAACTGAATTGTGCACTGCACTTCCATTTCATTTGGTAGAATGAACATCAGGATTCCTTTCATTCCAGTGATAGTCTGATATAAATGAAAGAAAATACTTGTGTTATTGCCAAGAGTGTAAAGAGATTGATCTGTATTACCTGAAACATAGGTAAGGAACAAAGGCCTTGGAAAAATTCAGATGCAAGACTAGTGCTAGAGGATGGTTCAATCTGGAAAGCCAAGTCATTCGGTGCTTCAGGAACCCAAGTTGGTGAAGTCGTATTCAATACATCATTGACTGGGTGAGATGGACTGCATATCTTAAGACCTAGACCAGCAATTCATGCACCCTTTTTTCAGAGGATTGTTTTTCTACATATCATGATCTGTTATGCATGTGCACTGCAGGTATCAAGAAATTCTGACAGATCCTAGTTATGCTGGCCAGTTTGTGCTGATGACAAATCCACATATTGGCAATACTGGCATAAATTTTGGTAAGTGAAATGGTTTATATTCCAAATTTCTGGATTTAGTTCTAGAAGGGCATTTAAATACAGTTTTGTATGCACTTCCTGACAGACGATGAAGAATCAAGAGAGTGCTTCCTTGCTGGTCTAGTAATCAGAAGTTTGAGTATCAGGTTCTTTCCTGCTGCTCCAGGTATATTTCCCTTGACTCAGCTCTACTTAGTATGCTCACACTTTCTTCCTTTGTGTAAATATTTTTCAGTACTTCAAACTGGAGATGTGTAGAACCACTTGGTGATTATTTAGCAAAAAGGAATATCATGGGAATTTGTAAGTTTTTATATAATAACCGCAGAGGTGATTTTGAGAAGATCACTGGTTTGTGCATGATTTCAGGTTCTGATCTTGATTTTGGTGCTTCCTTTGTGATGAAACAGATGATGTTGATACACGTGCAATCACACGTAGACTGAGGGAAGATGGAAGTCTTATCGGTGTCTTGAGCACTGACAATTCTAAAACAGATGATGATCTACTTCAAATGTCCCGTTCATGGGATATTGTTGGTAAGCATGCAAATATTTGAGATTGTAAAACATTTGAATGAGTGGAAGTTCATTGCTACTGCTTCATATTTGCAGGTATTGATCTAATAAGTGGAGTATCATGCAAAACTCCCTATGAATGGGTTGACCAAACAGCTCATGAATGGGATTTTAGCTCCAATGGAAGTCCTAGGGAGACCTTCCATGTAATTATCTGCGTTGCCATTTTAGCTTCACTTCTTTCTCATTGATGATCTGGCAGTTTAATTTACCCATCATTCTGGTGACTGGATTGCAGGTTGTTGCATATGATTTTGGGATCAAGCTTAATATTCTCCGGCGCCTAGCATCTTATGGCTGTAAAATCACTGTGGTACCATCCACGTGGCCTGCATCAGAAACTTTGAAGTTGAAACCAGATGGAGTTCTTTTCAGCAATGGTCCCGGTGATCCCTCTGCTGTTCCTTATGCCGTTGAAACCGTGAAGAGCATTCTAGGAAAGGTGCCTGTATTTGGAATTTGTATGGGCCATCAGTTATTAGGTCAGGCATTGGGAGGAAAAACCTTTAAGATGAAATTTGGTCACCATGGAGGAAATCATCCAGTTCGTAACCTTCTAACTGGCCATGTTGAAATCAGTGCTCAGGTAGGCCTTTTTAGTAATTTATTTCATGAGATGAGTACATATGAGAAGAAGTGAGTCCTAGTTTTTTGGGTGATGTATTATTTCCCAAATATATGCAATTCTTCCCCATGGGTAAAAAAAAATATTTGCTGTATATGCTGCATTATTAACCACTGGACCATAAGAGCATTGATTGTACCTTTGGTCTTGCTATGAACAATGAAGTAGAAAGTAATATAACAAATTTCATGCGTAGCTGCAACATTTTAGGTAAAACTTGCTCCTTTGGCATCCCCTGTTTGGTATGATAAATATTTTTGCTCATATAAAGTTTATTTATTGTTTTAAAATGGCAGAACCACAACTATGCAGTTGACCCTTCGCCTTTGCCAGAAGGAGTGAAGGTTACTCATATCAACCTTAATGATGGAAGTTGTGCTGGCCTTTCATTCCCTGCTCTGAATATCATGTCTCTTCAATACCACCCTGAAGCATCTCCTGGACCTCATGATTCAGATTACGGTATATGAGACTTCTAGCCATTACATTTTATAAAACGCAAATGTGAAGAAGAATCAAAACTTGTCAGACCCACATGTATATAGGGATGAAAATTATGCGGCATTGCAAAATTTCTGGTTATTGGTTAAAGAGTAGATTGAGATTCCTAGCTCGCAAGTCCTCATCAGTGCCATTAACTCATTCCAATAGTTGCTGTTGCTGATTTTTTTTAATCAATAATGCTCACCTGATTTATTGATAATGCAGCTTTTAGGCAGTTTGTGGAACTAATGAAGAAGGAAAGAAACAAGAAGCCGGAGGCAAATCTACAGCATCTGTCAACAGTGCAGGCTGTGGATGCTTAGTGCATGAAGTGAGCTGCTACCCTATGAGGATGAAACTTTAGGTGTTAGTCTGAATGATTTTGTGGATGAATTTATCCATCGATGTTCTGCTAAGGTCAATTTAGGTTTATTGTCCTCCATTTATATACCTAGTGCAAGATTGGCTGAGATTGTTGTATCTTAATCAAATGAGGAATTCGTGTACTTTTTGTTTGGGATTTTTCAATCTAGCTGCTTCATAATAATCATAAGATATATCAATGTTTCAATTCTCTGATGGTTCATACTTCCCGGTAACGTTGGTCAGTGTTTGACTCGAAGAAACCTGTGGAGGGGAAGGGAAGTGTTTAATGGTTCTTGTTTGGTTCAGAAAGGAATGAAAAGGGAACTAATGATAAACTTGCAAATATGCTTGTGTTATTTTACTTTTCTTGTTCTATATAGAAGTATTTGTATAGGATTTTTTTTTTTTACTTTTTAAAAATTTTAAAAAATGTTATATTTTACCTCATTTATTTATGATAAATGCTTGCAATATTTTTTTAAGAAACAGTTATTTGATTAATTTTAACTTATTATCTCATTAATTTTAATATACCTTTTAATAAAAGAATATACATGTTGACACAAACAACCACTTAATATCCTAGCCAACAATTGGATACCTAAGAGTCTAAGACTAAGTAATAATTCAAAAATAAAAACAATTAAGACTAAGGGTAATACTTCTGTAAAGGTTCTAAACTTAGACCCTGGATGTATATCTTGGTTTAGTAACTTTTGGAACCCAAACTCACCTAAACTTTTATTTAAAAAAAAAAAATCATTCAGGTGATATTTTTTTAAACTCATCTTTAACACGTCCATAAGGTGCAAGGGAGTCTATTCTAGAAAATGTTGGATCCATTGCGGTTGACCCCCACAAATATTGTAAATTATTCATCAGCAAGGAGGGATTCAGCAACAGTAAATGAAATATCATACCAAGATCGCATTCCTTCATTTCATTTAATAACCCTCTGGAAAAGAGAAATACTTGATGTTGGTGGTATGTGGCATGTCGATGTATTTCTCACATGAAGTCGAAAGCCAATCACGCCTATATCAGGGTTGGAATTGAAGATAAATGTGTGACAACTAGTAATGCATAATTATTGACAGAGAGATAAAAAACAGTGACATGTTTTTTATTTAATTGAATCAATAGTAATTTTGAAAGAAGCCTTTCTGCAGTCCCGCCACGCTGGTAAAATTAAAACAGCTCATACGATAAATATCTAGTCACATTGACAAACTTGAAGATTCGATCATAGGAATTTACCACATGATCAAAAGGAAAAGTCAGAACCAAGCCATTTGCCTGTTATCCTTGTGGAACAACCGAAATTAGAGTTCAGACAAAACAAAATCACTTGTTGAAAGATCGGAGATACAGTACAGTAAACAATATTAAACATCAAATTACAACAGAAATTACCCGTTTGAAAACCTAGGTACAATTAGTTTCCGTTTGAAGAGAGCCACAAATATCTTGCGGCCTCGTGTCTTCATTTCTTATTATACCGGAAATAAGATTCATGCCTAATTATAAGCAAGTATAAAGCTCCACTGAGAGGAATTTCTACAATCGAAAGGAGACTTCGAAAAATCGAAGCCTGGTTAACGCCTCCAAGGCCTGATAACTACCAAAATTAGAATCCAAAGATCAATCCCACGTATATTTTTGTTAGTCTAACAACACAGTATAGCCAAATCCGGATTATGAAATCAGGAGGCATAGAGCATAAAATTAAATTGAAATTATAACGCGATCTAAATTCATCTAATTGGCGGAATAAATTCATTGATCAGAGTTCCAAGCAGTCTACAAAGAGAGTAGATCTCCGTTCATTTTCTCATATGTGCTGAAGATAGCATTGAAAACCTAGTTGCGATCCACTTGCGCTTTAAGAAAATAAATGTTATTAAGCTCTCTCGCCTCTAATTCTCCTGGCAAGTTGAATATCCTTCGGCATGATGGTGACCCTCTTAGCATGAATGGCACACAAATTGGTGTCCTCGAACAACCCTACAAGATACGCCTCGGCGGCTTCCTGAAGAGCAGCCACGGCACTGCTCTGAAACCTCAGATCGGTCTTGAAATCCTGAGCGATTTCTCGAACCAGACGCTGAAACGGAAGCTTGCGAATGAGAAGCTCAGTGCTCTTCTGGTACTTTCTGATTTCTCTCAAGGCCACAGTCCCTGGCCTGAAACGGTGAGGCTTCTTAACACCACCGGTGGCCGGAGCAGACTTCCGAGCAGCCTTAGTGGCCAGCTGCTTGCGGGGAGCCTTACCGCCAGTAGACTTCCTAGCAGTCTGCTTGGTTCTTGCCATTGCTGAACTGGATTTTGATGTTGAAAGCTTAAAGCTAGCTGCAATATAGAATTGAATGGAAAGATGAAGAGTAGTGATGAAGAGAAAGGTGTGCATTTTGGTATTTATAGATGACAGTGGACTGAAATTTTTGGAGGGAGATTGGGAGGGCGCGGTGGGTTTGGCTGAAATGAGCACTGAGATTGGGGATTGATCTGACGGTGACGATTTGGTTATGAGATGGCACACGGATCGCCATCTTTTCGTTTAAGACGGAGATTTTTAATTTTCGTTTTTAAATTTTCAAGCTTGGCGCCTTACCCTATTCTAAAACGAGAGTTCTCAGTTTTGTTTTCAAATTTCAACTGTATTTTGGTTAGGGGAAAGAGAAAATTAATAAATTAAAAACGGCAATAACTATTAAATTAGTTGAGACATTTTGATTTGAAATTTGATAGTTAGATTATAATTAAATCAGTCATGATTCAACTACCATATTTTGAACATGTATTAACTATTGAATATAAAATTTAAAATAATAACAAATATAATAAAATATTTTCTCAGATAAGATAATGGTAAATTAAAAATATAGTAAATAAAGACAAGAAATATAATTTTGAAAAGTATATAAATATTTTATAATTTAAATTTAATAAATAAAAAATATTAAATTGAGTGTATCCATCAAACACTATGTATAACACGTAGTTTAAAATTTGAAATTTTAAAGAACAAAAAAAATATCAAAAATCTAGTTCATGACCAATTAGACATTAAAATTGGGTGCAGATGGGTGTACTAAAAATCAAATTAGTCATTAAATTAGTCAAGATTTTGGTCTGAGGATCAATGATTTGATGGTTGCAATCATATATGAATAAAACATTTTATTAAATTTGTCAAAAAACACCAATTCAATTACTTTTCAATCCAAGTGGCTAGATTAACCAAAATTTTAATGTTATGGTGCAAAGCAATGCTAGAGTCACTTTGTGTAATACAATTTTAAGTAAGGTACTGAAAATTAGACCCAACATTGAACCGGCCAAGGTCAAGAGTTAAAGGTTAAATATTCAATTAAGGGTCAAACTAGAGTTGGACTAGTCATGATAAAATAATATATTTTTATTATATAATAAATGATAAATACTTTGTTAAAAAAAATAATGCAAATAGATAAAAATTACAATATATAAATTTTTTTCTATCTATTTGTAGCTTGACAAAAATCACCATCCCTTCACTCTTTTCAATGTGTAGCAAAATCACCTTTTGAGCTTTCCTTCACACATTAGAGTCTTCATCTTCTACCTTCTTCCTTCTTCATCTCTTTCTTTCTTCTTTTGCTTCTCTCTTCTTTTTTCTTCATCCTTGCTTAAGCCTTGAAGAAAGAAAATGTGCACAATAATAACATTGAGTACTTGAGCAATGCCAAGGGACTAGTGAAGAACAAGAGACCCATAATGGACGCTAAGGTATGCAAGGGATGAAGAGAGCTCAACCAAGATCTGAGAGCAAGTGAAAAACTGGAGATGAGAAGTGAAGCTGTGAAGGAGAAGGACCGAATGACTGCACACTAGGGCTTCTGTATTCTTTTTTTTAATTTCTAACCCTCAAAACAATGTTGTTTTTGATATATTTTTTTAGGTCCTGTTTATAAGTCACTTTCAATATCTTTTATCAAAAGTAAGGAAAATCTTATACCTCACTAAGTTTGTTTTAAAATTTAATAAATTTTCACATCTATCACTTGATAAGGATAAAAGTAAATATTTTTAATAATTTTTCTTAACATTTAATAAGGGCATAAAAGTAAGATTTGAGTACCCTAGTCTATATTATATCCAGAGTCCAGGATAGCCATGGCCATAATCTTGATTACTCCTTATTATTTACTCATTTTTCTAATTGTTGGTGTTATTTTTGTAGTTGTTATGTTTGCAATCTTGTTAAAGGAGTTGATTTTAAATAGTGTGATAAACTTGATTTCTCAATCAAATGATGAGCACATAATTTCCCTAAACATGAATGCTCAAGAATGGAGAAAATGGAATAAATGTGTAACATCTCAAGTTTTCTAATTTGTAGCCCAATTGTCAATTAAGGGTAAGATTAGTAAATTGGTAAATTAATTAAGTTAATTATATTTTCAAGTTGTTAATTGACATTTTAAACTATTAGGCAGCTTTAAGTGTGGGCTAAGGTGAAAGTCAAATCATAATGGGATAAGGTGGCATGAGACAAGAAAGAGATTCCTCACTATGCCACATGCCTTGTGAAAATTCATCAGCAATCACAATAGCTAAGTTCCATTTATGCTTAATAGCCTTTTTAGATATGCATATATAATCAATTCCAAATCCAAAATTATGGTTTTAGAAAATTTTATTCAAACACCCTAATTTTTTTAAATTCCATTTACCTTTTGAAACTCCATTTGACATGGGCTACTTTTTTCTCCATTCAAGGACCAACTCTCAGCATTTGAGCATTTTCCATTTTCTCTCATCTTTATAGTTGATTCTAGGGAATAAAAAACTGAACTAGATCAGCCGGTTCGATAGGATAACTTGGTGAATTAGCCACTTTGCTAGTCTAGTTTGATACTGAACCATGGGTGGCATTGATCCAAACTAACTCAGGCAACCTAGAGTTAACTTGGGATAACTCAAATAACTTTACGGTTTGGCCGGGTTATTATTTTTTCCTGTCACAACCCTCAAACAGTGTTTTTTTTTAGGGTTTTTAACACAAAAAAGGAACCTAAATCTCTTTTATATTCGCTTCTCCCTTACTGTTTGTGTCAAGTCTTTGTATCTCGCCGTCCAACTTGTTTGAACTCTCCCTAGACGCTAAGTTTGCAAGCTTGCTTCCATCTTCTTACCGTTCAGGTTTGCTAGTTATTTCTATGTTGGCGCTTGTTGCCCATGGGTGGTGGTCGTGGCCCAACTTTGCATTTTGAGGGGGGCCATGCTAACTTTTGCCATTTCATGACATAGAACACAAGGAATTGCAGTAAGGCGATAAGCTTTCAAGTTCCTATTTACACACATGCACCCATATATTATTATACAAAGAGACTTGCATGTGATTGTAGATGCGGCATTGCAAGGTGATAAAGTATTGTTGGTGTGGCACTGGAAGGTAGCAAGGTGCACACTTAGCTTTTGAATAAGGATTGGAAAATACAAATTTTTAATAAGAGTGTTGTCTATCATATTTTTTATGATTAATATATATATATATGTATATATATACTCGCTTTAATCCTATTTATAAGATAAGAAGAAAAGAATTTCTTTGTTTACTCATCTAGTTTTATTTATAAAACAAAGAAAGAATATTTATTTTGATTTTACCTATAAGACACTTCAATAATTATTATATTCATCTTTAACCTTTTATCCTTGTTAAATATTTGGAAGATTATTAATTGTTATAGTATTTTATTTTTAAAAGTATGCACTTTAATAGAAGAAAAGTTGAAAACTTATGAAATTTTTTAAACAAAGTTAATAAAGTTTAAGATTTTTCTTAGTTCCAGTAAAAATGCTCAAATGATTTATAAATAAGATTAAAAAAATATATTTATAGGCATGTTGTTGATTTTTAATCATAAGTTTATCCTTAATTTGATCCCTATCAAGTGTTGGCTAAAAAAAAAAAAACAAAAGATTCCTATCAATTGTTGGTGGAAAAATATGTTATTAATATATATATATATATATTTAATAAGAACAAAATCAAAAACTTGTTAAATTTTTATACAAAATCAATGAATTTTCAAATTTTCATGTGTTTTAGTAAAACATGTTAAAAAAATAATTTACAAAAAAAATATTTTTTTCATATATTATATAATTATTTATTTTTTATTAAAAATTGGATTTTAATATTATATATTTTATCCAGTGTATCTAGTCTAGATCATTTATTTTAATATTTCTTTTCAATTATATTTTGTTTTTTTATCTTTTAGTCCTCCAAATTCTTATTTATATTATCATTACTAATTCTTTTTGTGCTACTATTTATTTTTTTGTTATTTTTATTATCATGTTTTTTTAAATTATTATTATTATTTTGTATTCAATTTTTGTTAGGTTATTTGAGTTAAATTATTTAACCTTTTAATTGGTATTGTGCTGAGTTTGTTAGATTTTTGTTAGAATTGTATTGACATGTATAATTATTCCATTCATATGAGAATTAGTATTTTTTATTTAAATATTCATTTATATATATATATATATGAATATTTGTGTATTACATTATATTATTTTAATCAAGACCAACTTGAGTTCAAATTGACCTCAGTTGAACTACTAACCCTGAGGCCCTAATCCATTGTCTGACTAGTTAATGATCAGTCCAGTTTTTAGTACCTTAATCAATTTTAAAAAATTATTCAAATATTTTCAATTGTTAGAATCAATTTTAAAAATTATCTGAACATCATCATTTTTTCTGGTGGAAGGAGCTTTGAATGCTTAAGCATAAGATCTTGAGTTTGAGTTCATGTGAGTGCATAAAATTTCTTTGGAAGAACTGCTCTCAATTAGCCTTGACAATGCTTCAATCTAACCCAATTAGATAACCAAACCTTAACATAATTTCAAGTAAAAAATATGGATAAAATAAACAATCTCCATTTCCAATTTTCTCTATAACGGAGTGTAATTATTTATAATCCAAATATGTTTAATCACAATTTCGAACTCAAGTTTAATGAAACATATGGAAGTCATGAAAATAATTTCAAATTATAAACTTCATAGTGCAGATTAAATGGGAACATCCTAAATGTGGGTGGCTAAATCTGAACACCAGATGGACCTAGGGTTCAGAATCCAAAGGTTAACGAATAGAAATGACATCATGAGATAATTACTTTGAAGTTGCTATTGCTAAGATTTATTTAACATAATTTTTTTTTGCTAAATCTTGTTTTGACCCTTTGCAAGATAATATAAAGTTATTTGTCATTTGCTACTCAATTTTAATTATTTCTCTATCTTAAATAGTCATTTATACATATGAAAATCGCACTAAGCTACAAACCATTACACTTGAATGGTACAAAAAAGTTGCAAAAAGTTAG